CTGCGCTCCGCTCCGCTCGCTCTGGACCGCAGGTGAAGCGCGCTCGGTGCAGCCCCGCCGAGTCCCCGCCTCCCAAGCCCGGCCCATCGGGCGAGGACTGACAGCCAGCCTTTAAAGGAGCAGCGCCGAGCCAGGGGCTTCCCCTCCCCGCGCTGGGGAAGGAGGCGGCGGCGGCGGCTCACCCACAGCCCCAGCCGCTTCCAGAGGCAGGGAACTTTTGGGTGTTCCCAAATGCTGAAGCAACCTGCGGTAGGAGCACCCCTCTCCTCTCAAAACTATGACAAAATATTGGGGTGCGATGCTTTAAGTTCCCCAGTAATCATTTGGCAGCGTAATGGGGTTTGCCCAACATCAGGTACATACGTGAGTGGTGCACCCCTGGTGTAAAAGGTGGCAGCCCTACCTCACACCACATCAGATATCTGTCATATCACGGCCTTATCTACACAGCCCTTCTTCCAACAGATGGCACACATTAGTCTGTAACTATAAAACCCCCTGGAAAATTGAGTGGTGGGGTGCTGATTAACATTTTCAGAAGTTAGGGTGTACTTGGTACTTCAAAGGTTGAGAAACGCTGGTTTAAGGGAACAGACGTTCAGTTTCCAAAGGGCCGGTTTAAGACAAACCTGGGTGGGGGGCGTTGTGGAGATGAAACGGCAGGGTGCTTAAATTGAAGCGGTGGGTTTTCAAAAAACACTGCTTTAACTTAGGGCTGATTAAACCCACTCGTGCTGGGCATGCACCCCGCTGACTTACCGGCCTCTTCGACGGGGAGAGAAGGGCGAGCTGCTGGCGGGCAGAGCGGTCCCTGGGCTGCGGCAGGGGATGGTGCTTCCCTCCGTGGCAGCAGTGGCACATGGCTCAGGCAGTCCCGGGGGCACCGTAGCCACAGAGGGAAGCATCGGGCCTCCACACAGCTCAGGCAGGCTCCAAGGGGGTAAAAAAAACCAAGATCAGGCTCCCTGCTTTTCTTGGGCAGAGCTGCCTTCCCAGGCTGCTGCCAGGCGGCCTGCAGGGCTTCCTGCAGAGCCCGTGAGCTGCACTGAGCCCGGTGCTTTGCTCTGCAGCTGTAGGGGCAGCAAGCTAAAACTTCTTAAAGGAGTTTTAGTTTGCTGCGCCCCAAAACGTTTAAGGCTCATTACACCGCTGAATTCCTGCAGCGGCTGGAATTCATGTGCAATATGTCGCCAAGGCATGCAAACACCGAGACCGTTAAAGCGCTGCAAAAGCATTTCACCTGCTTTAAAGTGTCGTGCGCACACGTCTCTTGTTTCATCTACACACGGGTTGAATACAGGCAGTCCTTGACATACGACATTTCGTGTTACAAGGAACAGCACTTACAACATTTATCAATTGACACCCTGTTTCAACTTTCTAACATCAGTTTGGACTTATCAATGCTTGATCCGATGCCACGCCACGCCAGCAAACAAGTTCACTGTGTCTCCCATCTCCCTGGAGAACGTCTGTCCAAACTTCCTTGCACACTTTCTTTAAGAAAGCAGACAAGTCTCCAGAAAAACCTGCAGCCAGGACTCCTGAGAAGACTCCAGGTAAGAGCCCTTCAAAAAGTCCATCAAAGTCACCTCAAAGAAGTCCTTCCAAATCCATATGATTGCTATTTACAATATACCTGCATTAATGTCATTATATTACTCATCTATAATTGACTGAGTACAAAATTCTGGGTTATTTTTGGTGAAAATAGGGTATCGGGCCTGAGTTCAGGAACCAATCCCCCATTTATAACGTTGTTCCTATGGGGAAAATCAGTTCTGAGTTATGACGCTTCGACTTAAGACATGGTTTTCAGGCACCAACTGTGTTGTAAGTCCGAGGACTGCCTGTATACCATCAGACTTAACTGATTTGGGTCAAACCAGTTTATGAATCTTCTGTCCCAGACCCCTGGGACTGAGAGGGAAACAGCTGGTTTGGCCAGAGGCAAGGAGATGGTGTGGCCGGGGCCGCCTTAGCCATGCTGGAAAGCAGACGGAGGGAATAAGAAGGGAAGAACTTCGAAAGGAACAAAGCTCCTCTTCAGGGTCCTCTTTAGCAAAGGGATAAATGAGTTAGTCAAACGCTCTGAGCTTTCATTTGCTGCTTATAGGCCTGGGTCTAGCTCCATGACAAGCCCTATGTTTGCTGTGGGTAAACTTAGGAGGAGGAGGATTGACTGAAACAGGGATGGATGTCCCGCCCGAGGGAAAGCAGTTTGTGTGAAAGTCAGCTTCCATAACCTAGCAAGAATAATTTTATTAAAAACGTAAGTAAATCTTAGGCCAGATCCTCCTAGGGGAGTGGGGGGAGCAGGATGGGATACATTCAACCTAATTCAGATCTCACAGCAGTGGAAAATACAGTTAACTCCACTAAATTGAAGATCCCTTGGTATAAAACCTGTGCGAGACTCGGAACAGACCCAGAGAGCTGCGCTCAGCTTAGCTAAAGTTTGACGAGCGCTCTGAAGTCTGACGCTGTACAGCAACGGTAATAAATGCTAAATCTCAGTTTTAACTATTTTCAGCCATGTTGAATCCGGGGCATCATTTAAGTCCTCCTCCGTTGTTTTTGGATGTAGCTCAGTTACATATAGAAAAGTTCTCAGGTGTATTATGTGCATATAAGATCATTATTTTCAAGACCCCAGTCAGACAGTCATTCAGCTCCCTGATGTACACAAATGCGTGCAAATACATTTGCAAAACGTACCTGATACACTGTGTAGTGTATATCGGGGCTGAAAAGCCGGCCTTTCAAGTATTCAGGTGGATTCACAAATGTTTTTCTCCCCTAAGGAATAAAACAAATATATCATTCTACTTAATGCATCCTTGACTTTGGAGGAGATGTATTAATATTAGTTTTGCATCAGTACCTACACGGTTTAATCAAGGACCAGGAGGACATCATTGTCTTAAACTCTGCACACCTATTTACTGTTTTCAGGGCTTACAGTCTTAGCAGGTTACAGCTTTTATCTTCCATTTGATCAGGCATATCTGAATGCTATATAATATAAAATGCATGCACAGCATTTTTTTAGATGCATATGTACGATGTGCTATTACTGCTTTTGACAGCACACGCCACAATTAGAGGCACTGTGATAGGAAAAAATAAAAATCTTCCCTAACTTTACCCTCCCAAGATTTCACCCTGAGCAGTGAATTTTGGAACAGATTATTGTCATGTGCTGAAAGGCCGCTATTATTATAGCTACATATATAACATCTCAAGAGCCTTAGAGACGAGATGGTTTCTCCTTCTAAACATTTTTTTTTTAAAGTGGCTCCATGTGACTAACATTCAAGTCTTTTCTTGTAAAAACTTGTGAACTGTTGACTCTTGACTGGCCTGCAGCTGTAGCTGTGCATGCAATTTTGCTCTCTCAAATAACTTTATTAGCATGACAAGTTCCACTACTATTGTCAAAAGAAGTCTACCACCACCACGACCGATTATGAAAAAAAGGCACAGCATTAGTTCGAGGGGAGGGAAAAGATTTATTCAACGTGTTCACAGTAGGTTTATAGTCTGACGGAGAGTTGCATTTTTTTTTCCTGCCTCTCTTTCTGCTTTTTAAAAAATTATATATACCCCAAAAGCAGGCAGCTTTTCTTCTTGACTTAAAAACATCACCTGCTAATTTCAATGTCTAGGGAAAATATCTCCCTTACATTCTGGACTGTGAAGACTAACGTGATTCAGTGTCTCAAAGTCTAGCCTCTTTCCAAAACCAATTGAATTCCTGCTAGCCAGCCGTCATAAATTGTGGTCACTGACAGTTTACTGGGTGAACAATTGTCCAATGGACTGAGTTAATCTGCTTGGGTATATTTTCCATTTAGAGAAGTATGACAGTGGCTTGTGTGATTTGCAACCTTCCTTCCAAGCACTTCGGTGTTTGCAAAAGCATCATGTGATCTGGTAAGGAGAATACAATTTAATATGGAGCATGTGCGCATGCATGTGCGTGTGATTCCCCCTCCCCGTCTTGTCCCATCCACCCCTGATTACTTATGTTTCAGAAAGAATTAACGTTTACTAACAAATTAGCTGCTATTGCACCCATCTCTTCCTGTTAAGAGGCAATCAACATAATTTTAAAGTGCCCATAAAAAAGGTGCTCCATCAGATCTGTGAGAGAATGCAAATATCTGGTTTAAGTTATTTGTAGCTATTCCTGGAGCCGCTGTAGGGGAAGAAAAGGTTTTGGTGTCTGGGTTAGACCTGGGACTCCTTGTATGTGATAAAGGAAGCTTGCCAACCTTACTGATTTGACATTTTTCCCTGCTTCATTTTCAATCCATTTCGGGGTGGGCTAGTTATGAATTAAGACTCAAGCATGAGAACGAAATAAGGAGATCTATCATCTGGCGTGTGAAGATTGCAAGATGCGGCTGTGACTGCATGAAGATATACAGGAAGGTACACGTGCCCATTGAATCAACTTGTTAAACACCTCAAGAGTAAGACTGCTGATCCTAAGAGCCAACTTGCTATACTACACAACACTCAAGAGAATAAAAGGCTCCTAGATGAGACATCTACAGAACTGACTATGCCAAGATAATGAGGGGAAGAGAGTACACAAGGGATTTTTCTCTCCTTGATGCACACATGTAATTCCTATTGACAGCAGTGGGAGTTACACGTACATATCAAGGGGACAATAGATCCGTTAGTACGGAAGATGAGTTTCAGATGTGAGCGGCGTTACTTATGGACAGAAAATGAGACACAGGAAAGTGTGATCACTGAGGACAGTACAATGCACAATACATTTGCCTGGCAGCCATCAAATACAAGAAAGCACAGGGATAACAAATTAAATGTACAGGAGGTGGGAAAACAAAATCCCACGAGGCATGTGCCTTCCTCATTCAGGGGCCTGGCTTCAGTTTCCATACCAAGAAAAGATTTCCGCTCGCTTTAATCAGCTTACTTCCACGAGAGCCCAGAGTTCAACTAGAGGCTTCCTTGAGTAGGGCATTTGGTGGCAGGGGAGATAAAAACAAAGGAGCCGTCTGAAAAAGAAAGCGCGATAAAAGGATAAATTAAATTAAACAATGTGTAATCGTGACTTTGAACCTCAAGATTTAGTACAGAAATAGGAGGCAGGTAAAACTGAGTCCGAGCGCAATCTAGGAAGGCGCTGCTCCTAACCCTGGTCCACATCGACAGTAATAAAGGGAGAAGCCGCTTGGAGAACCTGCGAAAAAGCAAATGGTGGAGGACTGATAGGTGGTGGCAGATCTGGAGTGTGAAGCAGTGTTTCCAAGTGGCCTTCAGATATACCCGCCACGTTTAGGAACTTCATGGAAAAGATGACAGATACGTCAGAGCACGACCGAACAGAAAGGGAAGCAATGCACTGATTAGATAAAGCTATGAAGAAAAAGAAGGACTAATGGAATAAGTGCATCTGAGAGAGTTCAGACCGAAGGCAGCGTAGAGGGTGGAAGAAACCCTGAATGGAACAACCAAGGGAAAATAATAGTTACTCCCAAGCTGGGATTCCCTTATTTCGGTTAAGCAAATCTGTCAAAGAAAGAACAATTCTGCTGTAATCACCAGGACAGGACTTGTAAACTAAGGGAGTGCTCAACATTTGGAAGGGGGGTCAGAATTTGGCCCTGATGTGTGATCTAAAGAAAAACTGGTAGATAGTGAAAGGGAAATGAAGTAGAACAAACAAAGAACCAGAGCAAGAACAGAAGATGTGCTCAACTAATGCCTGACTCTGCATTGTGCCACGCATGCTCTGCATGCATGGGGTTATCGCCAGATAGGTGTAATAGTCCAATGCCCAAGCAGAGACCGCTCTCTCCAAATAACTCCGAACATTTGCAATGTTCCCTAGTGCCTGGTAAATCTGAAATCCCTCTTTTGCACAGTCCTCTCATTCATACTTTGAGACTCTTTCCATTCCCCTTCCTAGCTAGTAATATACACGGCGCTGAGAAAAATAACTGCAGAAGCCCTGCACAAAATCTTCCTTCCTAGCAAGAATAATTATGTTGGACCAAGGAAGGCCAGCTTTGGTGTAGTCTGACCTCCCATTATGTGAGACACTGTGGCCTCATCGTTGAACTACCCAGGCGCTGCCTGGCAGGACTCCAAGAATGGCTATAGTAAAGTCAATTAAAAACCCCTATTTCCAAGTCCCTTTCACCCTAGGTGAAGTAACACACTTTAAACGAACATACTTCATCCTGACACACGGTGGAATTAAGTTATGACCCTTGCCATAGTAGAACGTTGCTAATTCTGATTTTTATTTCTACGCTTTTATTTTATTTTTGCAAATGAGGGACCCCCCTGCCCCAAACTTTCAAACCCTTTCCCCACCTGAAACCTAATAAACATGCCAAAGGCAGACAAAGCAGTATCTGCTTCCCATCTGTAACCTCAGGAAAGAGAGCAGTTTAAAGCTGTTCTATTTATTTTATTCTCAGGAGGTATGTTCTGTGGCTATTGTCCCTGTAGTACTGGGGATGAAATAAAACAATTTTGGACTCTCTCCAATCTGTTCAAACTTGTAGGTGCTTATTACATCCAGAATTTGTTCCTACGTGAATGAAAAGAAAATGACCATGTAGATAATTCAGCATGAAACCATACACACAGGGCTAGATTGTCCCTCTGGGATGCAACCTAGTCCTCGTTTCCCTTTGCACCAGCTGCCTAGAGTCACTCCACCATGTTTCAACATTTCCCACTATCCAAGAAAGTTTGCAGGATGGGGCAAGGAGTGGGTGGCCCCTTGGTTCCCCTCCCTTCCTAGCAGGCTTCACTAACAGGACTCCTGCAAACTTTCATATATCCAACTGTCCTGGACCTATGGAACGAATGGGGATGTGGGGATCACAGCCACAGACACAATGAGGATGAGATTTGTCCAAAATGGGAAAGACTTCTGTATCAGGAAACTATTGAGAGAGACAGAGTAAGAAAGAGAAGAGAATATACATTTCCAGCCTCAGGAGAATGGAACCTGTTTGTGCCAGTTGTATGCAGGAACTTGATTTGGTATATATTTCCAGTAAGAAATACAGGTGGATCTGTTAAACAGAGCTAGTAACGTTATTCGAGGGACCCTGAACAAGACTGCCCAAACCCACCAATAAGGAGACCCCACGATCGTATAACAGATTTGACTGTACTTTCTCTTAACAGGCATACAATTTAGTTGAGAAAAATTATATTCTTTGACCGTAACAAACTGGAATTACATTTGGTTCGTCATGGGTTGGATCATAACCATGGATTTTAGGGAATTTAAAGGTAGATGACAGTTCATCTAAACCTTGATTCTTAACTCTCTTACGAGATGCAGCCCCTAATAATCTTATTCTGCAAACGACTGCTGGTTGGTAACACTGTAACGATCCATATGCAACCCATTGCAGATTGCCAGACAAGTAAATTGCTTCATTCCAAATCTGCCATAAGCTTCTGTTTGGTAAATATGACGACAGTTTATATACAAATGTTTAATTTGCATCCAAAATTGCCATAAGTAGGTATGTATGGGAAACCTCATGAACAGTCGACTAATTAGGTGCATTTCTATGAGAAATTACCTGGCGCACTCATGGAATCTCAGTAATTGCACACCTGCCTTTTGTGCACAAAACGCACCTGCAATTGTACATTTAAGTCAGGGCAACTTATGGCCCCCAGGCTGCTGCCCAGCTACCACTTCCCTCCCTGCGCCAGTCTCTGGGCTCCCCCTCGTTCCTCTAGCTTTTGTTGGCTCCCACCCCAGGGGATGGGCAGTGCAGCGT